CCTAGAAAATCAGCCTCTAAATTTCCTTCATCCAACCTTGAGGTCATCACTCTACTTGAGAATCTCAAATGACATAGCTTGCTTCTTGAAGATGACTTGATGATGACCATGACTTCTGATCAAAAGCTACCTTTGTTGCCAAAAGAAATCTGCTCGTACCTCCCATTCCTCCTGAAAATGAAAATGCTCACCAAAAGGATCCTAGAATTGAGCCAACCACTGAGGCCACCCCAGAGTACCGTGCCTCCAGTTCTCAACCACAAGACAAGGGGAAAGCACCGGTAATTGAAGAAGAAACTGAAGAAGAGGATGACGATGATGAGGATGAGGACACTGAGGAAGAAGACCCTACTCAGTTTCATCTGACTAAAAAAAGGCCTGGATTCTCCAAGATCACATTTTAGACACCCCTAGACACATGCGTCTCATGGTAGTTCATAATTAGTTCTTGTTATCCTTTGTGCTTTAAAATTTATGTGTTTTGTATTAAGACTTCTACTTTCTCTTTCACCGCTGGTCTATAAGAATATTTGGATATTTTTGTATGCTTTGAACTCGTGACTTGTTATTCCTATGTTTTTTGGATGAATGTCTGACACTGTTGGACAATATTCTGGATGAATGTCTGTTGGTCAGTAATGAATTTGGTATTCCTATGATTTGTTGACTCATGATTTGTTGCATAAATACTGAGTATGGTTGATTTAATATGGCCATGGTTGATTTAATGATAACAAAAAGGGGGAGAAATGGATTGGATATGAACTCTTTGTGAGAGGGAGTCAACTTCTTCTGAGCTGAAGCGTAATGCAAAGAAGGAGATGCATTATGTAAGGGGGAGTTTGTGTAAGGGGGAGCTATACTTTAAATTTGTTTTGCTCCATCCATTGTTTTGTCATCATAAAAAAGGGGGAGATTGTTCATTTCAGTCCGTATCTTTTGATGATGACAAAACAAGTGGATGATACTAATATTTCCCAAATTAGATATTTTCAGATTTGGAGCAAAACTGGCAAACAAATGTTGAAGCATGTGTCGGACGCAAAAAAAGTCTGCATCGGCCGTCCGACAACCTTCGAGCAACTTCGGACGTATAAGGAACTCACTCTCGGACGTCCGAAGCAAATGAACCCAGCTCTCTAAACTCACTGACCTCGTTCGGACGAACAATACCTGAGTACCGGACGTCCGACAAACGGTGCGACACTTCGGAAGCAAAGTATTGAAGCACCGGACGTCCTAAACATTTCAAAAAAAACTTCTTCAACTCACTACCTGCGATCGGACGCGAAAAATCTGCCTACCGGATGTCCAACACCACCAACGGCTAGTTGACTCTTCAACTGCCTTCTATCTGTTGACAGTATTTATTAGAGTGCTTTTTGGTCTCTTATAAATCGAAAAAGTCAACCACTTCAGAATAACTTTTGTACATTGATACTACATCAGATATTGAGTGATTCAAGTGTGAGAATACTCCCAAAAGAAGATTTGTACTCTTAGTTGTGCAATTTTCAATAAACTTTTCAAGTGTGTTTCAATTTCTTCAATAGTGTAGCTTTGTGAGGGTTATCCGGGTGATTGTAAAACTTTCCTACTTGATCAAGTGAGACTTGAGGCAAGGAGGAAGTGATCCTTCCTTTGTACACAAGAGATTGGTTGTAAGTTGATCAACTTGAAGAAACTTACTATATAAAGTGATATTCAAACTCAAGTCGAGTTTGAAACTTGGTTTGCTATTCCATCTCTTTACTTACTGTCTTGCAACATAAATTGCCTATTTCTTCTACTCACAATCACTTCTGTTCATTCATTAATTGTTCCTTTGTGAGATCCTTTAGAAAAAGAGGACAAGTTCGTGAAAAAGTGACTCACATCTTGGCTAGTTTTTAAATCACCTAATTCACCCCCCCTCTTAGGTTGTCTTCGATTCTTACATCATGACAAACAAACTCTTTTAAGTTAAAAAAGAATTTTTCTTTTTCCATTTTTCTAAGATATACTAAAAGAATTGACAAATCCAAAACAACAAAAAATGGGACTTGCAATTTTTTGAAAAGTCAATTGTCAAAAATAAACAAGGTAAACACACAAAAATTATCAAAATAAAAGAGAGCCAAAACAAAAAAGAAAAAGAAATGGCCTGTACACAAATATTCTACTCGAATTCTTCTGCTTCCATGCCATTGTTGACGCCTCTTTCTATGCTGCTGGTTTCTTGTGAAGATTGTGGATTTTGATCTTGATCTAAGGGGTAAAGAAGAAGAAGAGCCCCCACTGATTTAGGCTCATTTGGTAGCTTTTTAATCAATTTTTGCCAAATTTGAGGCTGAAATCATGATCCAATTGAAAAATTGAAGTGATCCTACAAATTTGACATAATTCCTCAACGTGGGTTGTGATCCAGAGGTGGAGATTGTAGTTGTGGCGGAGAATGGCGGGGCCTGCTGCAATTGTTGCTTTCATAGCTGCTACTAAAAAAGCTTCAACAATTATTGTGGAAGGAGATGGAATATAAAAATTTTGAATGCTTTCTGCTAAAAAAATAATGTGGAAGGATATAAAACTAAAGTTAAAAAAAATAAAAAGTGTTAAATGGATTTCTTAAAACTTGAAAAAAGCGATATTTGGGTTTTTTTGAATTCTGAAAATAAAGATATACTAGTCCATTCATAGCAATTGTGGGATTTAGTCTTTACACTAGTTCCATCCATGTTATTTGACGGAAGTTGCTTGAAGGGGGTGTTTGTTATTTGGCTAAATCCCAGGGATTGTTCAGTAATTTGGCTAACGCTCAAGGGAAGTAAATGTAATTAACCATAATAAAAAATGCTCTTTTGCAGGATTCAGTGAATTAAAAATAAAAGAAAATTTTTAATTACGGCTAATATGGTACAAGGTATTATAGTCAAGTTCTACCACACGGTACGTATTGATACTCGCCCCTGTATTTCATCCCAATACTTATTCTTTTTTTTTTTGTACTTATGAATATTTTTAGAGGCCTGTTACTTTGCGTCATAGTAAAATACAGAATGGGCATAATGCAAAATGTTACATGTGTGTACGTGTGTTCGAGTGCAAGCATATTATTCAATTTTTCCAAACAGAAGGATTAAAAGTTGAGTAAATTTTATATACACTGACAATGTATACATTATCACTGTGAGATTCATGATATATATGCAAATGTTGAATTTTAAATTTAAATTTTGCATACTTATCATTTATCAAATACTAACAGTGTATACATTGTCAGTGTAGGAAAAATTAGTCCTTAAAAGTTTGGCTAAGAAATACAAGTTCAGCAAAATTATGCATAAAATACCAATATGTTTGTAGATGCATTTATATGATTTCTAGATGTTATTCTATATTAATAATAGTTTTTAATCATAATTCTAAGGATGATATATTAATCAAATTGTCGATATTACATTCATATGTATAGAAAATAAAATCATATAAGTCTTTGTTATTTTTTGCTTGACTTATAAGTTATACAATTTTTTTTTGTAGTCAAACTCAAATTTTTGTCATAAACTGCAATATTATTTTTTAAGTATAATATGGGAACATCGAAAAAGAAAGACGAAAAAGTTTGATACGTGTTTTGTATTTTTTATTACATGTATGAGCATTTTTTTAGTTCAGTATTAAAAAATATATGTATTTTGCAAGTTCTTCTTAAGTTAATATTTTCAGATGGGTATTATATAAGTATAATAGAAGTATATCTATACTATATTTAAAACCTGCCGAAGGGGTTTAGGATTAACATTGGCGTTAATATTTATCGTTACTTTATGAACTTCCTTCTTTGTCCTTATCAAAACTATTTTTACTTTAACTATGGCTAAAATACTGAGACCTAGTCGTAAGAGCATCGTAATACAACTATACTTTAGGAATTTGGATTTTTTACTATGAAAACGTGAGAATCAAACTTTGAGTCTCATAAAGTTGTAGAGCATCCTCCTAGCTTCAAATTGAATCAAGAATCGTCTCAATTTGACTTGTGTAGCTCAAGTTATTGCCAAACTATTGAAACATATCATTCCTGCGAAATGCGCTTCTCTTGACTTTATCCTCTCTTTCATTGTTTCCTCACACCACGTTTTTAGTTTATTTTCTCTCCAATTGAGCTTTTCACCTATTAGAATTATAAGAGCAAAATTAAGTAATCTCTACTCAACATAAAGGTCAAATAACATAGTTAACTAGTAACTTATATCTATAAATGTACTACAATTTATACCCTATCAATATATTATAATAAAAAGACCCAATTCATAATTATCAATAGGTTAAAACAAAAATAATTACTTTATTGGTCCATATACAAATATACAATTTAGCCTAATTGATTAAACTTGTTCTCATTCTTCCTCTATCAATTGCAACTATATAACAAACATTTTTAATTATAAAAATAATCAAGACAAAGGTTTGAAACAAGATGGAAGATAATTTCTTGAATGATTGTCTAACTATATACATAGAAAAGGAAGTTATTGAAAAATTTAGCACTGATTCAATCATAGATAAATTTAGTTCTATGAAAGAACGTAAATCTCATTTTACTTCTAAGAAAAGAGATTGAAATTTCAAGGTATGTTAATATAACTTTTATCTTTTTTATTTGAAAATAGTTATATTTATATTGCATAGTCGACATATTGGAACATCTTCTCATAATGTTCAACTTGGATGGTTTGTGATATTATAAAATATTTAATCAAAAGTTATTTCTTATCTTGATTTTTGCTGTGACTATACTGCATATTTACGAAATAAACATACCTTTATAATTAAATTTAATATTTGATATTTTTAGATGTCATATATTTAAATAGATAAAAATTATTTTGTTAGAAAAAATTTTGCACCCCCCCCCCCGCCGGCGCGGGCGGAGAAAAATCCTGGTCCGTCGTTGTCGCCATCAAATACAGACAAATATGCATATTAAAGTGGTACAAATTTGGGGGTGCAAAGTGGAGTTAGTCCCGGTTGGGAAAGTAGACGCTACCAATAGTCTCCCAAGAAGCTGATGGAAATCTCTGCAATAGTTTCCACACCATCCTGACGGCCACAATCAAAGTGAACAACAGGAAGCCCGCAAACACGAAGCACACCGCAGTTGGAGTTGCAGGTGATATTGTTAGTGCAGAGTAGATGTATCCTAGCATCAGAAGGACCAAAGCAATGTGCAGCACACCGTAACCAGTTGTTGGTAGCAGCAAAAAGACAATGCCCAATGAAGCACCAAATGCCAATGAATTCCCCAACAAGAATGGATAAAACTTAGTGGCTCGCATCACCACTTCTCCAGGCTCCACCGCTGGTTGATTTGAGGTGGCCATGGAGTTAGTAAATGTGTTGGTGTCACCTTGGTGGACTCCTCCTGGAGGGCTGAGGACTGATTGATATGCTGACGTGGCTATTAGTATTGCCGCAGCCAACATGGAATTGCGCATTTCACCTGATAAGCCTTCGTCCAAATAAGCGTTGATTTGAAATATTTTCTCAATCAGTGCCTCTGGTGACCCCAACATTTCTGCTAAAGTGGGAAGTTGATGAAGCCGTGAAGCTTTTGAAGCTCCTGCCCTAAGTAAAATCTTCTTCATCCTTGCGTTCACTTGGATTGGAGGTTTAGTGTTGGATATATCAAGGGCTGTCAGGCCTTCTTGGTTCTTTGCGTTAACATTGACATATTTAACCAGCAATTTGGCAACCTGAAAAGCAAGTAAGAGGGATTATTTATCGATCAGCCCAGTTAATTATACTCACCGGCATTCTATCTAAAATCTCATATGATCTTTGTTTTTTTTAGCATGGAAATTTAAGAAGTGAGGAGGGGAGAAAGGGAGATTTAAACCAAGGACATCTAACTTTTGGAGCCTCTAGTTCAGCCATAAACGTATTCAGGACCTCTAATATCTCGAGTCCTAACCTTTGCAAAAAATGTCATAGTTGCATATAGTAGCACATCTCCACAAAACTACGGTATCATTAAAGTAAACATTCAGGAGTCGTGGCATCTCAAATTCCTATTTCTTTGGTTAAATATGACTATGCCTCTTTTCTGATAAACACTAACCGAGATCTGATTCCAATTTTGGGATAAAATGCAACAATGTGCCAAGAACCTGATTTCATGAGCAGTTACCGCCCCAAAATCCAAGCATTGTGCATTCATGTACAGTGCTTGTAATTGTTTGTCTAAATATGCATCTTATTGTCTATGAGAAAGAGAAAAAAAAAATGTAAGGAAATGTACCTCAGTTTGATTTGTCGATGCTGCGACATGCAACACTGTATTGCCATCTTCATCCCCCCAGTTCAATATTTCTCTCCTATTAGTTCACTTTAGCCAACCAAAGAGCACTTTAAAAGCTCTAAGTTTTCCATTTTTCACGGCAATGTGTAGAGCAGTCTCGCAGCATAAGGTCACATCCTCGATTGATGCTGGACATTTCAGCAGAAATTCAGCCAAAAAATCAATTTCCTCTACTTCTGCAGCATAATGCAAAGGAGTAATTCTTTCTCTGCCCTGAATACGGATCAGCTCTGGAGCAAATCTTACAAGCCTTCTCACAGTTTTTCTGTGGCCATTTCGTAAAGCTAGATCCAAAGGGCTAAAGCCATCGTGGTTTAAAACCCTCCCTAAAGAAGGCTTTAAACTCATGATTTCAAGGGCAAAGTGTGTATGCCCTGTTTCTGCAGCAATGTGCAATGGTGTATGGTTGAATGGTTTCTGATCTATGCATTCCAAAAGGTCTGGATTATTGCTAATCACTCTATATAAGGCACTAACATCATCTTCACTAGCAGCTATGGACAGTTGCTGCATTCATGTTGAAATTTCAAATTACCACGACTCCTCTTTATCAAATAGAACTTGAAAGAAAAACATTGTCAATTTCAAGTAAAAGAAACGCAATATTTCCTATGATGGCGAGATGCAGCGGAGTCATCCTATCAAATAGCACTTGCAGGAAAGCAGAAAGAAAATAGCATCTGAATCAAGCAAGAGCCACATGTCCAGGCAAAGATAAAAGTGAAAAGATTAATGACAAAACGAGAGAGGGAATTGCAATAAATGTTATGCGATAGAAGAAGCATAGGAAAATGGATTAATTACACAAATTAGTCCAAACAAGCAAGCCAAGGGTGATTGACAAACCCTCAAGTGAAAACAATAGGATTCAAATCAGAACCCACACAAGATACCACAGGAATTTCCACTTGAGCGCACTTAGGAATAGGAATTAATCCAAATACAATGCTGTTAAAAATAGAAAAAAAAAAAAGGTCAAAAGCTGTAAAATAAAACTCTAGCTACGTCCTATTTGTAGGCAACAAGTTCTAAACTGAAAAGGAAAAGAAAATACATGAAAATACGAAAAATGAATAAAACATCGTGTCTGGCAGCCTTTAGGATCCGCGAATGGATCCAAGGTGCCCATCCACGGATCCGGCCCGCATATCTAGCCCGGCCCTGGATTCCTGGATTGGATTGTGTCCAGAAGCTCACACAATCGAGGAGATTAATCTGCAGCACAGATTTGTGGGTGTTGGTTTTTTGAGGGCATAAACTAAGAAACAACACCTTAGTGTTGCAAAAAAAACTTATAAGAGACTTGTATTGAAGTTGGAAAATAAGCTTATGTTCTACATTCATCAACTCACTATTTATAGTGATTATTACATGAAACTGGTAAAATATCAACTAACAATTATCCTAAAAATCTCAACAAAATATAATCTTCTTCTACTAGCAAATCTTAGCTAAAATATTTGTTAACAAACCAACATGATCTTTGGTTAACAAATATCCTTATTTTTCTAATAACTAAATTATTTTGATATCAAACTCAATCTGATAAAATCTGTAGGAAAAGTTGGCATATCTCAACAGTGGGGCTAAGGAAAGGATAAGCTCACAAATTCTTCGAAGATGCAGCTTTGAAGATTGATTCAATCCCTTTGATGCGCGACCCAACTCCCTTCTTTAGATCATCAAAACTCATTCCACATAAAAATGAGAAAGGTTTCCTTTATGTGCGTTCGAAGCCAACCTCAAAGAAATTAACATGTATGTGATAGGCTGCAGTTTAGTACAGTTTATACCGAGTAATCCTCGATACACATTTAGATGGTTGAGTATTATTAAATTTAAATTATGACTCTTAGCCTTAGTTAAAACTAATGAAGTTTTCCAACTTTAACACAAATCTCTTCCTACTTTTCTTGCAACTCAAATTCTTAGCTTATCATCCGTCATTCACTTTGTTGTGGAATAAGTCTATTGGTTTTTTTTTTGTGACGACTAAGAGTGAAAAATCTACAAATTCATACAAAGACTCCTCCTTGGAAATTTTATAAAATAATTACAAGAAACAGTAGTGTAATTTTCATTATCTTTCTTGCTGAACAATAAAAGACAAAGTTTTGCTTTTTAATACCTATAGCAACTTGGTCAATAAGGAGTTTGAATTTATCTATTTTGTATATGAGAAAAAATTTGGTTAACTCTTTAATTGATCACATATTCATATTGCTAATCTTAGTTTTGTTCATCAAATTAAAAAAAATGTCATGTAATTAAAAATAATTTTCTTTTGATATAGCACAAGAGTTTGTGCTAGACTAATGTAATATTTGCATTCTGTTATTGCAAACTGTTTATTTATTTTTTTAGAGAAAATTATCTAACATTTTTTTGACCAAAATAATGTAGGTATCAAACACACAAAGTATAACAGTTGCTATAGCCCTTCGCAAAATAAAAAAAGAAGCGCATAGTTTTTTTATTTTATTCATTTTAAATTCACCTTTGATCTACGTATTAAAATTTTGATTTACCTTTCATATTGCGTAGAAAAAACCAACAAATAGGATTTTAAGTTGGGATTTGAAGAAAAGTTAAGCGATAATATCATTTTATAGCAACAAGTAGGAAAAGATTTGCATAAATTAGAAAAATTTAATTGGTATTAAATAAGGTTGAAAAGTTGACAACAAAATGCAGTCTAATTGGTGAGATACTTCTCCTAAAGAATACACATGGCAATCAACTAAGTACAAACTACAAAGTCAATTATTTGGCAATTATACTGTAAGGATGCAGCACAAGTTTCAGGTAAACCAAATTGTGAAAACACAAGGAGTGCAGTAAGTAATGAGTTGTTGTTGCTGTTGTCATTATTATTACTGTTGCTATTACTGTTATTTTTATTATTAAACAAAAACAATGAAACGGAAAATTGAGGGAAGTAGTAATTTCACCTGGAGAGAGTTATTGAAATACCAAAATGTGATGTCCAGTTGCCTATTGACATCTTGGAGTTCCTGCGTCATTCCGGTGGATCTCGACTGGTAACGGTTGGGATGAGAAAGAAGATGATTGTAGCTCAATGGTGGTATCATTTGATTATTTGTGACAGACCAGTCTTCACTCATAAAAATGTCTTCCCACTCTTCACTGGTTGTTTTGGAACGTAAGAGACCGGCAACTGTTTTCACAGCCAAAGGCAGCCCTCCACACTTTTTCACAATTTTCTTTCCTATTTCTTCAAATTCCAAGGCTTGACTGCCATCTCTATTCTCAAAGGCATGCTTCACAAATAAGGACCAACAATCATCCTCTGATATTAAATTCATATGATGAATTGACTTCTCTCTGCCCATCATTCTTGCAACGTACAGATTCCTTGTTGTAAGAATGATTCTACTACCCCGTAATCCACCTTCGAAAGCAATCCGTAAATTACCCCATTGATTGTAGTCACTAATCCAAACATCATCTAGAACAAGAAGAAACTTTTTACCGGTAAGACCAACTTTTAACTTCACCTGGAGGGAATTTAAATTCTCATGGGAGTCGGAAAATGAAATGTTGAGTTCCCTAAGGAGTTCCTTTGTTATCCTAGTAGGATCATATTCTTCTGATACGTAAACCCATGCCATGGTAGAAAAATGGTCCTTCGCCCTCTGGTCATTGTAAACCAATTGAGCCAAGGTGGTTTTGCCAATTCCACCCAGTCCAAATATGGGAATCACAGCGATGCGATCCCCGTTTGCATCCTCAGATAGCAACATTTGTATTATCTTCTCTCTGTCATTATCTCTTCCATAAATAGCAGTCTTATCAACCAAAGAAGTAGTTGGTATTGGTAGTTGACATGATTGTCTCTTCGACTCCCCAACTTGAAGACCCAAGGGATTAATTTGTTTTACAAATGCTTCCAGTCTAACTGCTATTCTCTCTATCTGGGGAATAATCTTTTTAAGGAACTTACTACTCAGAGATGGAATGCAATCGGAAGCACTCTCCCAGTTTCTGCTTGAGCTTTGGCACACATTTTCCTCCTTAACTCGCAGAGCTTCCGCATTGATCTCATTGAGTAAGCCATCTGCTTCGTATACAGTATCACGAAGCTCTTCAAGCCATTGCTTGACAGATGGGTTCCTTGTTTGCTTGATATCTGCATCATCAAGTAGTGCTGCAGCTACCACTAAATTCATCTTGAGTTTTTTGAAGAGTTCAACATCTGCTTGGCAGACTGTGTCACGAAAGAAATTCAGAAACTCTGCTTTAGGCATACTATCATATACCACTGGAAGGAAAGTGGGAATAACAGAAGCCATATCTCCGAATGAAAGATACACAGCTTAGAATAACTTGCACGCCAACTGTACAGAGAGAGAGAGAGACAAAGAAAGGGAAAGCGAGAGCCCTGGAATGATTGAAAAGAAGATGAGCCTTGTTGCTTCCAATGGAGGAGTGACCA